GAATCTTTATTCACCAATGTTCCCCTTAATGAAACTGTTGATTTCATTTGCGATTACATCACAAGCAGTGGGATAAACTTACCTATTCCTGTAACTTACATCAGAGACATCATCTTAATGTGTACAGAAAATATTAGATTCACCTTTCAAGAAAAGGCATACAAACAAATTGATGGTGTTGCGATGGAAAGCCCTCTTGGGCCCCTGTTAGCAGATATGTTCATTTCGAAATTGGAGAGACAAATCCAAGGTATGCTTGGAGAATTTATACTGTATAAACGTTATGTAGATGATACTCTCATTATTGGTGATAATATTAAATCTATTGAAAGCTTTATTACTCTATTTAATCATATTCATCCAAATATCCGAGTGACTTCCGAACCCGAATCGAATAACAAACTCGGTTTCCTCGATATTACAATGACCAGGAGAGATGATGGTACGATTCAGAGATCTATTTTTCATAAACAAACATGGAGTGGACAATATCTTCATTTTACCAGTTTTGTTCCTATCCAGTATAAACGTTCCCTAGTGAAATGTTTGTTCTCAAGGGCCCGAAAAATATGCACGAGTGACACAGTGATGGATGAGTTTCGACATATACATTCAGTTTTATTAGCTAATGGTTATCCGGAAAACTTTATCACTTGTCACAGTAAACAAAGACCACATCTCGAAAAGACAGCTTCGGTACCAAAGAAAGCTATCTTTATAAACCTACCATTCAAGGGTGATCAGATTATGCAGTTGACAGCTCAAAGACTCCGGTCAGCCATCAAACGCACTTTCTACGCCGCATCTCTTTTCCTCACTTGCCGAACATTTTCAATCCCTGTACCTATGATTAAAGGACGAAATTCTGTGGACTCTACTTCAAACTGTATCTACAAGTCCACCTGCAGCTGCGGTGACACCTATATAGGTAGAACCAACAGAATGTTCCAATGTCGTCGGAAAGAACATGTTCCAAAATGGCTACTAAATCACATAGAAAATCCCAATGCCAGTAATCTGAATAGAAATCCAGCATCATCCATTGCAAAACACTTATTAATGTCAGGTCACAAAATAAATATTAATGACTGTTTCACAATTATTTCACATAACTCTAATTCAAGGTTATTGAAGGTGATGGAAGCACTTTGGATTAATCACATACAGCCTAAACTGTGTGTACAAAAATCAATAGACTTCAATCTTCGCCTACCCTGGACTACTTGACCTATCTAAATATGATTGGTCATTAGTATGTACTTTTGTTTTTATTTAACTGAGTAATTGTCATGAACTTTATTTTATTATTGTTAACCATGTTAGTTGTAAAGCGGTTGTAAAGAAACTACGAAATGATGTCATCTCGCGAAATTTGTCTTCTTAATGCCTTATTCAAATAAACCTTATTACCAATATTTTGTTATCATTATAATCATCGTTATTAATTTCGTTCAAAACATTTACCACATTATTATTATTATTTGATTCCAAAAATCACCGTCATTGGTTAAAAATTTTATATATAAGTCTAAGTAAATTAGAGTAAAGCCTGAAGAAGATCTAATTGAAAACAATATTGTTCACTCATATATTCAGCATCGTTGTCACTTGTTTTGATTATTTTTTTGAGATAGTTAAAGATACTTTCAGTTTTGTCTTAATGCCTTATTCAAATATGATATCACTTGCTGAAGTACATAAGCTACACACTTAAATCACTTGACTGTCATACTAAGATCTTACCACCGGCTGCTGATCACAGCAAGATTAGTCAGACGTCCGATCTCCAGGATCAAACTCTTCGAGTGAGTGAGAAGAGCCGGCCTGAAGAACATCTGAAACAGACAGCATACAGATGTTAGATTCTGACTCCTCATTACTAAAACTTCACCAAAAGACTTTCAACACAGTGCGAACAATTAACACCATGACGATAACTTTCTTAGTTTTACCACTATCAAAACAACTTTTGTGTCATGGCACGACTTGCAGTAACACCCATCACAAACAGTGTAGCTCACTGGGTCATTAAAATATGGACGATTAAATCAAGCAGAATTTAAATTACTGAAGTGCAATAGATGGTTGATGCAAGCAGTGATTTCGTAAGTTTTTCTGTTGTACAGTCCATGTATATGAAAAAGTTATGTGTCGTTAGCAACTAGGAGGAATTTAAAAGTGATATTTCAATTCATAACTTCTCCATGAATCTTGAATTGAACAGGCACGGATCGATTTCCAAACCAGCGAAATGAACAAAACTGTGAGGCAATATGAGAAGCTCGAAATGAAGATGTAAGAAGCAAAGAAGAAATGCATTGTACAAATCGGCGCTTCCACTTTTAGTTCAAATGTCGTTTGATTACTGAATGAAATTTGACTAATGGACAGTTCTGCTACAATAGAGTGGTGTGTTCTACGTTGTTGATACATGTTCTTATAGAATGTCCTGCGCAACATACGACCAGTTACGCAAGAAATAGTAATTTATGAGCATTATTTGAACAATATGGGATAATCACAGGACAACGTACTCCTTCACGGAATAAATAACACGCTACTTACTTCACGCTGGGCAAGTCTAAAGGCAATTAACAGAATGATACCCAACACTGTGATTCCACCAGCGACGCTCAATAGTATGATGATCACTTTCGCACTCCGTTTCACAGTTCTGTATCCAATTATCAGTGTCAACACAGCTACGATGATTGTGATAATCCATGGTGCAAAAATAAAAGATCCCATGGATTTGGAGACAGCAGGTAAGGCGATGGACCATAGTAAAACCTAAAACATGTAAAGATTACACTGAGCTACGAATCTGTTAGTATGTTTATCTTGACAAATTAACGTTAAGATTAACGAGTGAAATATGAATGAAGTGCTATTGCGGTACTGGTTATTAGTTTGTTTATCATTCAGGTAAAAACACGATGGCGAATGTTGTCTTCTTAAAGACTGAAAAAAATTTGATCAGTGTGCATTTAGAAACTAGATGGACCAATCTGAAACTATGAGGGATTTTACGAAAGAATCGATAGTACGCGTATTTTCTTGAAGGATAAATCAAGCAAATGGAACACCCTTCAGATAACAAGTTGATCACGCTACCTTAGTTCCCTCCCTAACATTCAACAAGACGCTAACTAGAACAAAATTAAGTAGTTGGCAGAGCTTGGAAAAATGTAATTTTTTTATTTATTTTGAATACAGCTTGATGCCGCCCCGTATTTTCAGTCCAAGTATGGAATATACAGCATGGATATTGGTATTCATTATAATAAAGGCTTTTGTATTTCCCAGTGAATGAAAAAACAAAAGGATATCGGTAGCCTAAATTATACAGGCCGACCATCGACATCGCGAGTACGTCGGCAGGGGATCGAACCCCAGACAATGCGCATGGTTGGCGAGAGTCGTAACCACTGTGCCACCCACGCACAATATGAGGGTGTGATATTCACATGGAAAATATGAAACATTTTGCTTTTGTGAATAGCTTTCTCATTGGAAGTTGGAAATATCTGCCACTTGCTTCGCAATACTTGTTGACAGGAATCAGCCTGACGCTCACACATCTCAGACTAATAAACTGAAGTGATAAACATGTTTGAAACAAACTTTCCTCACTTTGTCTCATGGTCTCATTCTGAACTTTGTTATTCATGTGTATTGAAGAAGTATGTAGTGCACCATAATATCATTGTGGCCTTTCCACTATTATTCACCTAATTAATTGCACACTTCGAGTTGTCTGTCGACAATTTTTCACCACTATAAATTTAGACTCCACACGTGTGTCTTCCTTATTTGCAGCAGTGTAAAACTGATTTTATGAATGACAAATAGATCACGCATATTATACACAAAACATTTTAGTCAACATAACAGTCACTGAAGTCTGTAGTCAGCAAAAAAGCGACTGATCCGATTTTCGCATCACTCGAGACAAAGATGTGACTAACCTATGATGAATCATCCTGTAACACCGAGTACAAATAGCGGTTCAGTCGTTGATCTATAACGATTATTTCGTGTAATTGTCAGGAGTTTATAAAAGAAACATACATGCATTATCCAACCAAGGAAGGCAAACTCACCGAAAGTGAGATCAGTCCTTCATTAAGTGGAAAAGTCTCTCTAAGTTTCTCAATAATCAATAACACTGACACGGGGATCGCACCAAGTACACTGAAAAGGCAAAATAATAGAAATAGCCAGCTAGAGAAAATCAGCGACATTACGCATCGACGTCTCACAGATAAATGAACACTGTTGGCAATGACTAGCATTCAGTCATCATAGCAGTGTTGTTTCAATCGAAGCTAAGTTAGTTACAACTACTTTCAGTTTTGAGAGTTTTAGTGAAATAATAACAAAACAAATTCTGATACTCCATTTAGCTGAAAATTAAATCCAAGTAACTGTTTGCCAACTTAAAATACTTTTTTATTTCCGGTTGGGTGATTCCATTTGACCGTATCTCTCATTTTCCATCCACCATATACTGAATAACGTGTGTATACCAGAAATTAGATGAACCAACCTTCAAAAAGCTGACAGGTAAATACTGACTGAACATTTCAGTCTAACTGTCTCAACCAACGGGTAATACAAAATAAAATTGAACAAATTTTAATTGATACCCGTTACACAACAGGTGTCCCTCATGTGCGAGCGATGGGCACTTAGTTTAGGGGCAGAGAAAACACCAGTTATCACTGACAATACAGTTATATCAAGCTCACGAGTTCGAAATAAAGAAACATCTGAGTCCTAAGTTCGGCCGACAGTCACCACTTTTCAAAAGCTCATCACAATAATCCTCATGAAACTATCCTACGACAATTGTAAAACCATCACAAATAAACAAATGTTGTCATTTACATCAAATAACTCACAGAAAAACCAGTGGCATGTAAAAAGCGCCGTACAAATACTGAAGCTTATTACTAAAATCAACAGTGTGTAGTAAAACAATAACAGACGAGACTTACATAGTTGCTACACCAGTTGTAGTGATCACAGTCACCAAAACCATTAAACATGTAAACATGATGTACTTTTTAGATTACATATTATACTGTAAATACACAAACACGCCTACCTTTCGAATACAGGTTTGTGCAGCAGTAGGTGGTGGATTTGTATCCTATGAATAAAGCAGTGCAGATGTTTCAACAAACCTTCAGTTTCTCGTTCATGTTTACTTTCCACGTAGTCCAGAAATAAGCTCTCTAACTTATTATTAATCGAAATATCTAAAATATTTGAAAGCAACCTGTGAAACATAAGCGACGGTGACACTAGTTAGGTTGCCTAGAATTCACTTTTAAGTTATAGAATAGCACTGATTTCGAGGATAATATCCCCAGGCTATTACATTCCACAGATCATTGAAGATAGCAGGATCTAGCAGAACAGTTTTCTTTCTCGTTCGGTTTATAGTGAACCTTGAAAATTTTTTTCGCAGTGGTGAAAATGCGCTTTAGCAAGATGATATGAAGACTAATTTCACTGGTCCAGATCAGAATGTAGACGAATTGACCATGTTTTTGAAGAATTATGAGCATTCGTTCTCTAAAACGATCAGTTGTCGTAGTCCTGGATTCTGTCTTTATTTATTCTGAGACTTTTCAGGGTCATGCGAATGTCTACATGAGAAACCCAACTTGTTGACACTGATAGAATGATGTAGCCGTAAACTGGATCCTACTCATTCTCGACTTAATTATTTATACCAGCCAAATCGATCTTATTTTAGTCTTCTTCATACATTCACTCACCCTCAGGTAATAAATGGTTCACTAATATTTTATCATCCTTATTTCTGTGTCCAAGATCATCTTAAATAGTAATCGCAGGATGGATATCAGTCCTTAAATCGACAATGGATTCTAGGCTGCGGCTACCGGCAATTATCTGTGCAATCCGTCCTTCATTATATTTAATTGTGGCTGTAGCAGTGCTTCATTAAATTCCCCTTGCATCTGTAGACATTAACCAGTTTCTGTTTTCAAAATTAGTTGACCGAAATCAGCGTTTCAGAAGGAAACACCTTTCTCAAACACATTATTGTCAAAGAGTTACATGCATTAACGTGGAATCTGATGAATATGTCGTTCTGATATGAATTTGCAGCATATTTTATGATCAACTGGAATTATTCCATTGCATATTTTATGGAAGCAGGAAGTGTCTAGTAAATCCCAAAAAATAAGTGACAAATATTCCAAAACAGATAATCAGTAAAACTGTTGAAAATCCATCTGTATCTGAACTCACCTGATTCTAAATTGATTTATCGTTGTTAACACCTTCAATTCAGTCACTTATATGTTTCAGTGTAAATCAACAAAGTGTAAATGCGTAGGATGCAGCAGCATTCATTGAACTTTGAACAACGTTCTGTCTTCTATTAGTAGATTGATCTTTGTGAATATACTCTGGCCCTGTATGGTTGGTGAATCGTTATTACTTCTATTTTTTAAGTATTTCAGATGAGTACAGAATGAATAAATCTATTCACATGTTTAATTCACCACATAAGTAGTCTGTGCCTTATCTATGGTTATCATCGAATGGATCCAAGTTCTGAGTAAAACAAAGGGCAATTTCGCTCTTTTCAATGAAGTATTTTTAGCTGACTCTAGCTCTTATCTCCTCTTCCATCAGACAGCTAACTCATTTTTTCACATTTGGCTTCCACGAGAGAGATCGTGTGACTCCTCATGCTACTCGTCAGTCTCCTCAGTGTATGTCTAACCCATCTTCATCTCCTTCTCCATAATAATTAGGCGATAGGTTATTAGTTGTTTTGTTGACTAATTTCCGTTTGCCTAATCCTTTATGACCTGTAATCTGATCTTCAGTATCCAGCGATCGCAGATGCTGATAAATCACATTATGGGGAAAAATTCATTTTGATAAAGTCTCCTAGTGTTACTTGATACGATTATGAGCCCTAAATTGTGCTCGAAATGTCATCAGTTAATACTGCTGTGTACTGCTGAAGGACCTTTTCCAAAGTGGAATGAAACAGTGTCCACCACTACCTGGTTTCTAGATGGCTGTCTATCTGATGCCATCTGCGACTAAACCTGGAAGAAATTTAGTTAATTTCATCAAATTTTCATAATCTCAATAGGGAACTGAAAAACTCACAGATGAATGAAATAATGTTTTCAAAATGAGCAATGAGGAAAAAACGCAAATGTACATAAGAATAATGATGGCGACCAAAATGTTTTGCGACATTTGATCTCTGATTATACATTTCTGACCACCAAACTTCACGAGGTTATCACTGAAAAGTTGTTGAGAAATAAATTTGGATAGATTCATTTCGATCAAACACATATTTATTGGGTCCACATAGAATGGATAATAACATTCTTACTATTGTTTTGTAAGTAACCCGCGATACGGATGGATTCCAATGGCGTAACACATTTCCTTAAACATATTTCACCTCGAAATATCTGATAGTGTGCTGTCAGTTCTTGAAGGTATGAGAAGGCAGATTTCAACATTCAAATGAATGTCACATTATACATGAAATGATCCCGAGTAAATGAAGTCAACACACATTTCCGATGCTCTCAAATACTTAATATCGTTCAGTGGAACAGATGTATGATGTTCTGTACTCCAGATTTTCGAAACAAATGCTGTGCCTTCTCACACGAAACAGTATGAGAAAGCTAGCGTCATTGTGCATTTTGATGAATGATTTGATTAAATGGAAATCACACGCATCAAACAGAATTGTTTGCTGGCCTATTACTATTTCTCCTTTATTACACATCAGTGACATTCAGGTTATCCTTTTCAGGTGTTTTGAGTAAAGCAGGCTAAGGTACCGCATTCAGTATGTTGATTTGTGTTTTATATAACGAAAGGTATTTGTGTTTCTATGAGTCATGTAATCGGATCGGTGTTTACATTACAGGCATACTTGCGAATATCAAGCAATGAAGTAAAGTTTGCGTATGAATATGGAGAAATTCCTGGTCAGAAAAGTGATCATTGCGAATATAAAGAAACAGAATGCCAAAAAGCCTTTCAAGCTAACCAGTTCCAGTGTGGTTAAATAAAATGCATGATTATATCATCCATGCAGAATTGGAAATATCTCACTTCGGCTTGAAGTCAACAGTGGAGGTGTTGTCTTGTGGGTCAATGAATTGTTCGCATTTAAATCATTCAGCTCATATACTACAACCACAGTGGGTTAATTACTTTAATTTGGGATATTTTGGATAAACAGACCCTAATTATTTTTTCGGTGGAGTGTTACCAACTGTTGACAGTCTCCGAAATTCCAAATGATCGTGATTGCTCTGTTGTTATCTCCAACCGCATTTTAAATGGTCCATAGATCTGAATACTCAGAAGTCTGTGATGCCAGTCAAAGCATACTTTTTGATTAAGCAAACTCCCACGACACATTCAATCAACGAAATATTTGAGCAAAAATTGTATCGAAGAATATGTAAGATACTCGTGATACTCAGTAAGAAGCTGAGTGAACATACTACTGAGGATGGAAACAATGATGATAATGATGATTTGATAAATAAAGTTCTGTGTTATGATCAGCACACTTCCCCCGTGTCAACACAGTCATAAACACACATTTCATCCAACTTATCGTTCAACAGTCAACCTCCTAACACTCACAGCCATCTCCAAAAAAGTCGTGATTTCACATCTATGTTTCTCACTGTTCCCAGTTCATCATGACCGCCAGGATTTGCGTGACTCTATATTTTTAACCACCACGAGTCATCCATCAGTAAGTCAACCATCCCCTAACACATGTATCGATGACTGTCAACATAGAGGCAGAAGGATCTGTACACTCCTATCATGTGGATATCGCCTGTTATGCAATGCCCAGTCGACAAGTCACATGTGATTATTTTCGCTGACGTTCTGTGTACTATTACCTTCCCTGAAATTAAGTTAACTGGAGAACGCACGCCATCAACACATTCGTCCACATCTGATCATCATTTCATCGTCCTTAATACCCATGTAATGTTCACCCACGGAATAAGTATCAGAATCCTCATGTTCGTCGCCAATTTATTATGACTGATATTACCTGTTTAACTGTGATAACAAATATGTGATATCTGTGTTACTTATGTCTTTTTGTGCTACCTTGGCTACAGTAAATCTTCAAACTGGACGTCTCACTCACTAATAAATTTAACCCATATTGTTTATGACCCATTGGTCATACTTAACTGCGACAATCGCGACGACACTAACATCCTTTTTTATTCAGAATACATGATAATATATATCCTTTACACATCTACAGAAGTTTAAACCATAAATGGACAGTGAATACCTCATTGATTGCATGGCTTTGATAACCCTCCAAATTGAATTCAGTCTAACGCTATCCAGTAAGATTATTAAGTCACTTCATGCATCAATCATGACTTCACGGCTAACAACGACAATTTATCCATCTTAACAAAACTTTACTTAATTTTCGTTTCTGTGATTTGACTGAAACTCACTACACTGTTACATCACTTATAAGTTACTCATCACCTTATCTGTCTCCTGTTTTTATTGTGTGACATTTTTTCCATTGTATTCAAACATTCAGTTCTTCCTTTGAACTTGACCATACTACGTATTAGAAATATGATTGCAGCTTCTAGGTAGTGCCTATGAATTCTGGAGTCTTCTGTTAATTGAAATTTGATCACATTTACAAGTTCGTTAAAATTGATCTGCTCTTTATAATTAGCAGTCTATACGCATCTGAAGAGAAACGCACGAAATGGATGACAGTGACATCTTTAAATGCCCAGATGATAGGGTTTTCTTCATTCAAATTCATAAAGATGAATAAGTGTTCGTAGAAATTTTAGACAGATGAATAGAACCAAACAGGCCTGTGTATTTTTCTGTGAAAGCTCAATTAGGCAATAGAGAATTTTGGAGAATAATCATTGGAGTAAGGAATATGTTACCGTAATTAAGCCAAATGGAACTAAAATCTAATGAGTATAGGGTAAGATGGTTGACTAGAGATTA